AGAAGGAGAGAGAGAGACGAATGAGGAGGGACGGGTGGGGGTAACAGGCTTTTGAGAAAAAGTAGCTTTACAACTTGTATGTACTCATTAATTTATCATTGTTATAAATTTAATTTTATCTTCTTCGTAACGTTTTTATTTATATATTTAAAAACAAAATAATTGTATTTGCTAGCTTTGAACCTATCTTTTCTGGAAATGATAATATATGAGAGTTGGGGTGAAGGAGTAAACGACAGAAGCATAATATTAAGCAGATTACTGTTGTGCGAGGGTCAGAGAGTTGAAGTTTTCGAATACAGGACATTATGCGGTATAGTCCCCTCACTGTCACTTCAACATCTATCGACAATAAGTGTAATAGTCTTTTATACTATTTTTTGTTCTGCCAAAGTACTCCGTCTTGACCATTTCCTTTATCACTTCAGCGTATTTTTTCTTGCTGTCTATCTGTTGATCGAATCTCCGATGTTTTGTTGTAAGATATAATTATAGACCTGCATTTTCTTGTTTTTCTAAGCAAGGCTTTCTATTTTCTTTGACCATCAAAGCTGTCAATATTAATTATTAATAATTTTTGTTGATCTGTTTTCTCATATAAGCAATGCTATACACTGCTTTGATTTCCTACCAAATAATAAGGGAGGCGGGGATGATTTTTATATTTTGACAGGTTTGGCAAAGGTCTACTCTAGTTTTAGAGCTTTTTTTTCAACTTTTGTCCTGCATCGTTTTCTTAGACGTCGTGCCCCCATATGTAACTTGCCTTGGTGGTGCTGTTGTCATAATGTGAGATGCGTAAAATTATAGCTGATATTTGCATAGTCTATTTTGCCGATCCGTTGTTGTTAACAAACTGTTGTTGTTTTTACTGTCGTAATAACATTGGTCGCGTCGTGTTGTGATCGGCAAAGCTGCATCTGATGTATTTTGTCTACTCTTGATTGCTCTTTTTCTTAAAAGCAAAATAGACCTAGATCTTCAAGATACTATTTCAATATCTGAAATTTGCTTAAGGGTAAGAGCATA